GAGGTAGAAAGATCTACCCTTGAAATGTTTTATTAAAAGAGGTTAGAAACTGAAAAATTGGGCATGAATTGAATTACCCCCCCCATCCCTTTTCTGTTAGATGATATGTTTACTTTGTAATCCCCTTTAGTTATTCTCAACAAGGTTCTGAATCCTATTTTTTAATGTCTCAATATTCTATCCTTGTGACATGGTGCAGGAATTTTTCAACGATCAACTTTATATGTCATTTCAAATTTTCAGCAGGGTAACATGCTATTCTCAGATTTTCAAGAAGGTGACATGTAATTCTCAGATTTTCAATAGGTTGACATGCAATTCTCAGTTTTTCAATAAGGTGACATGCAATTCTCAGATTTTCAAGAAGGTGATATTCCATTTTCAAATTTTGATAGGGTGACATACAATTCTCAGACTTTCAATAAGGTGTCATGCAATTCTCAGATTTTCAATAAGGTGACATGCAATTCTCAGATTTTCAAGAAGGTGATATTCCATTTTCAAATTTTGATAGGGTGACATACAATTCTCAGACTTTCAATAAGGTGACATGCAATTCTCAGATTTTCAATAAGGTGACATACAATTCTCAGTTTTTCAATAAGGTGACATGCAATTCTCCGATTTTCAAGAAGGTGATATGCCATTTTCAAATTTCGATAGGGTGACATGTAATTCTCAGATTTTCAATAAGGTGACATGCTATTCTCAGATTTCCAAGGTGACACGTAATTCTCAGATTCTCAATAGGTTGACATGCAATTCTCAAATTTTCAGTAATTCGACATGCAATTCTCAGATTTTCAAGAAGGTGATATGCCATTTTCAAATTTCGATAGGATGACATGCAATTCTCAGATTTTCAATAAGGTGACATGCAATTCTCAGATTTTCAATAAGGTGACATGTAATTCTCAGATTTTCAATAGGTTGACATGCAATTCTCAGTTTTTCAATAAGGTGACATGCAATTCTCAGATTTTCAAGAAGGTGATATGCCATATTCAAATTTTGATAGGGTAACATGCAATTCTCAGATTTTCAATAGGTTGACATGCAATTCTCAGATTTTCAATAAGGTGACATGTAATTCTCAGATTTTCAATAAAGTGACATGCAATTCTCAGATTTTCAATAAGGTGACATGCTATTCTCAGATTTCCAAGAAGGTAACATGTAATTCTCAGATTTTCAATAGGTTGACATGCAATTCTCAGTTTTTCAATAAGGTGACATGCAATTCTCAGATTTTCAAGAAGGTGATATGCCATTTTCAAATTTCGATAGGGTGAGTATGCAATTCTCAGATTTTCAATAAGGTAACATGCAATTCTCAGATTTTCAATAAGGTGACATGTAATTCTCAGATTTTCAATAAGGTGACAAGCAATTCTCAGATTTTCAATAAGGTGACATGCAATTTTCAGATTTTCAATAGGTTGACATGCAATTCTCAGATTTTCAATAGGTCGACATGCAATTTTCAGATTTTCAATAAGGTGACATGCAATTCTCAGATTTTCAATAAGGTAACATGCAATTCTCAGATTTTCAATATGTTGACATGCAATTCCTAGATTTTCAATAGGGTAGTGGGTTGCTATGATTGCTCAAGGGTGATCACTAGGTAGAAATAGGTTAATTTTACCTTTAAGTGTTTATTTACATGTGTCACTTGTATTATATTTTTAGTTTCAGGTTGAAGTCCTTAGAGAGTGAAAAAATAGATTGATTTAGTCAGAAAATTTGTAACTGGCATGCCTTTTGGCTTATTTTGATAAATAATATAATAGAGAAGCAGTAGAGATCATCTGTACTATAATTGTGAGTCATTAACTTTACCTTGCATTGACTTACCCTTGAAATGTTTTGACATAAACCTCAATAGAAACTCTTTAGATAAGAAGTTATTCTTTCATCTCAACTTTCCATTTAGAATACTCAGAATCTACCATACGATAAAACATCCAAGGACGACACCGTCATTTCATATTTCAAGAGCTTATCAGCATCAATTTAATCCAAATTATTATCTATCCCTCCTCAGAGGCTAGGAGTTTACTGCTAGCTTCTGGGTTTCAGGGTACCTTACTTTAAAGGTCAGTCCTGGTCAGTTGTAATATATTGTTGATTGGACAAGTCAGACACAGACACTTATGTAAGATTAAGTAACAAGCATTAAGGGAGTCATTATTGGGGAGTCTCAATTAATTAAATTGATTAAGTACCATACAATATACTTTACGGCAGTTATTGGGTAAATGGTCTATTGAATGCCCATGGTAGCACTGGAAAAACAGAGACTTTCCATGAATTGCTCTGGTACAAGACTAGACTGAGTAAAATTGAAGGATGTTATGCCTGCAAGTCTACATAAACAACACTACCTCAAACTTGTAGAATTATAGCCAATAATTGTTTGAATATAAGTTAGTATGTTGAATCAATAAACACACTTAAGGATGTATTTTGAAGAGTCTCCTTTCAGTCTTCCCTTTTCCCTTATCTAATCAATAGTATAGACAGTTTTGTATTCATAACCTCCTTAGCTGTTAACCTGGGGGCTATAAACAGAAACTCCATAGAATTAGGAATTTGTAAAGTTCATTGTTCTACAACTTTTCTGTTAATGACCTCCTGGCTAGTCAGGAGAGCCATGCTAGATTGAGGCTGCATTTTTGCCAGGCCTTTTTAAAAAATGACAGCATTGCTTTGTTATTATGTCACCACCAGAAGTAGTAACATATTAATGGTTATAGTTTTCAACCTTTTTGTGGAAGGTATTCAAAGGTTTGCATTTGGCAGTTGGTGTTTAGTATCTGCAACAAATGGCAGGTAGTGACATTTTGCGTAGTAGTAAGCAAGCTACTATGGAGGTCTGCTTTGTAAACTCAAACACTAAATTGGTCATGTCGTTCTATGTTAAAAAGAGACAAATTAGCAAGGGATTTATATTGATTGTACAGTATATAAAACATTTACGTGTGCTCTTTTGGATTATTATAGACGTGCTGTGAATACGCTATCTATATTGCTCCCAGGATATACCCTGTTTCCTGATTGGCTACTATGCTACTCTCTGACATCTGACTGATTTAAGGTTTTGATTGCAGAATACGATTTCAACAATCTGAATCATTGATATCATGAAAATTTATTAGAGTTTGAATTGAAAAGTCATTTGTTGTTGAAAGAATACAGATGGAATCTAAGTCTAGCAAAGAGGATCTTTTTTCTGGACATTTTGAGATTACTTATATTGTTACCAGGCATTTTTGAAAAATGACAGCATTACTTTTTTATTATGTCACCACCAGAAGTGGTAACATAATGTTATAGTTTTCAACCTTTTTATGGATGGTATTCAAAGGTTTGCATTCAGCAGTTGGTGTTCAGTATCTGCAACAAATGGCAGGTAGTGACATTTTGCATGTTAATGCCTTGTTGTTACTTGTTGTTCATATACATGTACTGTACTCCCATCTTGTTTTCATGATGAGCCATGTCATGTTATTTTTCTCAGTTGTTAAAGAGGTGATAAATATCAGAAATTATCTTATATCTCCTATCCCTTTGATGACGCTTACCTTGCTGATGGCTGATGGTTTTCTGACCCTCCTCCTATGATACTTAATATTACCCTGAATGTTAGAGTACATACTCGTGTATAGGCTCTGAATAAGAAAGATGAATATACAGTTTTGATGCCAATATGACTACAAAAGTAGAGGTCATTGACCTTCAATTAGAGTTTCATTATGAAATAATAACAGGTACTTATGGATCTGAATTTTGATTGATAATTTTTTGATAGGGTTTGAAATCTATATCAAATTATTATCCCTTACTGAAAGAGTATAGATGAAGCTCTCTTTTAAGAATCAAACTATTGAAACTTTATACAGGGGAATGGGGGTAAATTGATTTCTCATAAAGGTGCTGAATTGTTATGACTTATTTATCCAGATATATTGATCTGAGCCAGCTGAATCTTAACATGATAGTTCTACTTGGATATCGTATACTAATTCACAGGTGGAAAATCAGAGTCTCCCACTGATGAAATTTCATGGTGGTTATATTTTGAAATATGGAAAAGAGTGGAAATGTGTGGAATTAACAAGGAATAATATAAACAGGTGTGTAGTTAGTGCATAAAATTGTATAGAACTATTAAGAAATCTGGGCAGTTCATACAGATTTTTGGAGATAATAGGATTTGATTTAAGCTAACATTTTTCGGATTTACTAAAGAGAGGTTTGGATTATTTTTTAACATCAGTTAGAAAAACATCTCAGTTGTATAAGCTTACAATGATACTTGTCTGAAGAGAGAATCCTCCAGAATACTGGAGCCAGCAAAGCTTCAATGTGTATACAGACAGATAGATTGCAAGTATTTTGATTGAGGTAGGTAGTGCTACTATGATTAGGATATTCGTGCAAAATTAAGGAAGGCAAAGGTGGTTTACTTTTGACTTTGTTTGCACCTAGGTTATTGTGCAAGCCCACTTTGTGAAATGTTTTGCAGATTATTGATTCCCAACATGTGACAGTTATATTGGACCTTGGATGAAACTTGCACCCCTTGCACCCAGTTTAGTTTAGAAATTCAGTGCATTAGGATATCATGAAGTTCTAAACATTTCTTCAGCATGTTTTGTTAGCAAGTTAGAGAAAATATTCAACATAAAACATAATCACGTATAATTTTTCAGTTCTATTGTAAATTCAACTGTTGTTAAAACTTGTTTAATAGAAGGAGCCTTTCGAAAAAGGTTTCAGTAACCTACTAACATGTCATTTTTATAAGTAGTCTGCTGGTTAACTTGTCATGTTTTTGATATTAAACGCCAAACTTTAGACTTTGGTAAATTGACAAAATTGTACATAGAAATCCTCGTGTCAATATATAAAGCTCATAGTGTTTGAATCAAAACATTTTAGTGTACAGAAAAATCTTTTTAATGTAAGCTTTGTTCTAAATCATTTTTTGTTTAGTTTCAGGAAAAAATGGTGTGAGGTTGAAAAAGAGGCTGGATATATCAGAGTGAGGCTCTGCAGACAGCCTAAAGATGTCTCTGAAACTCAAACTAGCCGAGCATACTGAGCTCGTCGCTGAGATGCCATTGGTTGAAAAAATGACTCAACATGAACGTCTCAAACATGCGAGGAAACGTCGCTCGCAACAAATGCGACGTTGGGCAAACTATGATAAACTTATGGATAGAGAATCTAAGAAGAGGAAAAATGCAAACAATAATTCCACAAAAAATTCTCGTCCTAAAAAACGAACCACTAGGCTTAAGTTTGTAAACAGCATCAAGTTACTGGAGGCAGCAGGCAGAAATGATGTGGATGAAGGTGAGAAAGTGAATTATTATTGGTTAAAAATTATTTTGTACCTTGAAAGGTTCTTTCCTCCAAGTTGGAAAGCCATTTACTCCCAGTTGATAGTCTATTTGTACCCAGTTAAACATCTGTTAACACCCAGTTAAAATTCTGTTTGCACACAGTTGAAAACCAGAATATCCCCAATTGAAAGTTGCTCTTGGAAGTTATTTTTCACCAAGTTGAAAGTAAGTTTGTACCTAATTGAAAATCAATTTGCTCTCAGTTGAAAGTCAGTTTGCATCCAGTTGAAAGTGTGATTGATCCCTTTTGAAGTCAGTTTGCCCCTTGTTGAAAGTCAGTTTGCACCTAGTTGAAAGTCAGTTTGCACCCAGTGGAAAGTCTATTTGCACCCAGTTGAAGGTCAGTTTGCATATACTGTAGTTGAAACTTTGCTCATAGTTGAAAGTCAGTTTATACCGAGTTGAAAATCAGTTTGCACCCAGTGGAAAGTCTTTCTGCACCCAGTTGAAAGTCAGTTTGCACATAGTTGAAAGTCAGTTTGTACAATTAGTTGGAAAGTCAGTTCGCACATAGTTGAAAGTCAGTTTGCACCTAGTTGAAAATCAGTGTGCACCTAGTTGAAAAGTCAGTTTGCACCTGGTAGAAAGTCTATTTGCACCCAGTTGAAAGTCAGTTTGCACATAGTTAAAAGTCAGTTTGTACATAGTTGAAAGTCAGTTTGTACCCAGTTGCCAGTTAAGGTCAGTTTTGACCCAGTTGAAATTCAGGCTACAGGCTACAGGAAATATACTGAAGAAAAGATGAACATGTATTCACCTCAATAGAATGGAATATTTGGTATATTATATTTCTTTGCATTGTCATGCAGCATATGTACACATTAGTACATATTATATATAATGTATATACATTATGAAGTAGATGTATGTTAATAGGTTACAAATATGAGTACAGTATATATGGATTTGTAATCCATCACCTCATCCAAAAAATATCAGAGATTCAATATTTCATATCTGAAACAAAGCAAAATCCTGAAGAGTAGCTAGAAAAAACATAAATGATTATATGCAATCTCAATCTGGATTGTATTAAAATAGAAGACATTTATAACTAATCATTCAGTATTTTTTGAGAAATGATGGGGGAAAAGATATGAGCACGTGGATGTTTTGAGTAGACGTTAAAGATGATTCAACTTTGGCTTCAGGTTATTTGAACCCTTCACAAATACTTAACCTTATATTCCCTCTTAAAAGGAGACATAATTATATAATAAAGCCGATATCTACTCAGAATTTACATTGCTGTTGCAATAACCATGATGTTGTGAGTTGCATGTCTGAGCTCCTTGCGTTTATTCATTTATACTTCATACATTAAAATTCCAAGCTCTAAGATCTTTTCAGCATGATCTGTTATTGGCAGAGGGTAGTGTTGTTAAACTGTCATGTCCAGGGTAGATTGTCTTCGTACATTGAAGCCTTATAACCTTTTTAAGGAAGGCAGAGTGTGACAACTTTTTGGACTTGTTCTCCCATAATGTCAGTTGTTAACCTTGACTTGTATCCAGGCGCCCCCCCCCCCATACATTCCCTATTGGCGTGTATGCACTTACTATGGGTGGAATAAACAGAATGGGGGAACTGAATAGAATTAACTCAGATAGTAGAACAATCACTATAATTAACAACTTAGATGTTTTACTATACCATTCTGAAATTACTACATTATGTCATGAGTTTCAATACCAAATTACCGAGGAATGGGAACGTTTCTTGCTACAGTCCCATCACAAGTCTTCAATGGGTAGAGATTAAAAGGTGGATTGGATCGAGTAGATTGGATTCATGTAAAAGGTGGATTGGATCAGGAATCTTCAAAATATAGAATTTCTTTCTTTTGATTTTTTCTGTTAATTTTCCTCTAGCTATTTCCCTCTATAAAATATTGAGTCCCTTTGAGACTTTGAATCAGAACAAAGCAAAGACAAACACGTACTCTGATAAGTTGATGAATACTCCTAAGTATTCAACTGCTTTCCCTTGTAAACCTACCTTTGTAAGACAATAAACATAGATCTGTAGATAAAAGCTGTCATTCAAATTGATGTGCGAATGTTCTAAAACAATGTCTGCTACATATGTATGTTCTGATTGGTCTGAAAACGGATGATATGGATGTTCAAACCAGTCTGTCTATGATTTATGAAATGTCCTTAAAATTACACATGGAATGAATAAGATACTGTATCACCCTTCTAGACCACCCAAGCAAAATAATATTACATCTTTTATTTGACATTATGGAAGTGAAAGAGAGGACCCATCTTCTTAGAGATCAATAGATTTTTTAAGGAAAATCCATATTTTGAAGATTCCCGATCCAATCCACCTTTTACATGAATCCAATCCACTCAATCCAATCCACCTTTTAATCTTTACCCTTCAATGGCAGATTATTGAAAACTTAGTTATTCAAAATATATTGAAGTATATCTCAGGCTTATGTATTCTACTAAATTCAGCGAGTTCTAAATACAATACATGTATTATTTTTCCCTCTGTCACTCTCAAGAAAAGGGTGACCACCTCTGCCTTCCTTAAAAGACTCAAGGAAAGGGAGACCACCTCTGCCTTCCTTAAAAGACTCAAGGAAAGGGAGACCACCTCTGCCTTCCTTAAAAGACTCAAGGAAAGGGAGACCACCTCTGCCTTCCTTAAAAGACTCAAGGAAAGGGAGACCACCTCTGCCTTCCTTAAAAGACTCAAGGAAAGGGAGACCACCTCTGCCTTCCTTAAAAGACTCAAGGAAAGGGAGACCACCTCTGCCTTCCTTAAAAGACTCAAGGAAAGGGAGACCACCTCTGCCTTCCTTAAAAGACTCAAGGAAAGGGAGACCACCTCTGCCTTCCTTAAAAGACTCAAGGAAAGGGAGACCACCTCTGCCTTCCTTAAAAGACTCAAGGAAAGGGAGACCACCTCTGCCTTCCTTAAAAGACTCAAGGAAAGGGAGACCACCTCTGCCTTCCTTAAAAGACTCAAGGAAAGGGAGACCACCTCTGCCTTCCTTAAAAGATTTGATACAGGAGATACTAAGTGGATCATGTATAATCTGTTACATGTAGTTAAGCTGTTTGCTAATACCTTCACTATCAAGAGGATTACCTTTATGTCTGTTTATTCAAATCACCACCCGAAGCCCTTTTCAATATTCATGATTTATCAATGTCTCGGCTACCCTTTTGAAAACTATAAAATCTGTTCGAGGGAACACCTTTCTGTAAAGAACACCTTATTACAAGGAATAGTGTCCAAAGAACAAAATATTTTTCCATTTGCTTACATGTTAATGTACCCTCTCATTAAGAAACACCTGTCAACTGGGAACAAGGAGCAGACCGAGTGTGAATTTCAATTGATTTACCTCTTCACAAAGAACAGGAAATTATTGGTTTACATCCAATTGTTGTTGTCACTACCAGAATTGGTGACATATTGTTATAGTCTCCATCTTTTTTTGTGGACAGCTGTCGGCACTCGGGGGTTGGTGTTTGGTGGTCAATGTCTGTAACAAATGACATGTGGTGACATTTTGCATGTTAATGCTTTGTTTGGAGGTATGCTAGACAGCCGACATTAGGTTTAAATGGGTTTAGATCAATACATGAGAATAAGATTATGTACAATGAACTTTGATATACATGTACTTATTTAAAAGAGAGGTTCGTCTATACTCTGAGTAAAAGATAATCCTTTTAGGTCATCATGATAAACCATGATATCTCATTTCGTCTCAGCAATATGATGTGTCTGTGAAACAGAAAGATGTAATGAGTATCAGAATGCTTTGAGGTGGCATAGGCTACACAGGGCAATCAAAGGCAAGGCTGCATAGGGCAATCAAAGGCAAGGATGCATAGGGCAATCAAAGGCAATGCTGCATAGTGCAATCAAAGGCAGGGCTACATAGGGCAATCAAAGGCAAGGCTGCATAGTGTAATCAAAGGCAGGGCTACATAGGGCAATCAAAGGCAAGGCTGAATAGTGCAATCAAAGGTAAGGCTACATTGGGCAATCAAAGGCAAGTCTGCATAGGGTAATGAACAGCGAGGCTGCATAGGGCAATCAAAGGCATAGGCTGCATAGGGCAATCAACAGCGAGGCTGCATATGGCAATCAGCAGCGAGGCTGCATAGGGCAATCAACAGCGAGGCTGCATAAGGCAATCAAAGGCAAGGCTGCATAGGGCAATCAAAGGCAAGGATGCATAGGGCAATCAAAGGCAATGGTGCATAGTGCAATCAAAGGCAGGGCTACATAGGGCAATCAAAGGCAAGGCTGCATAGTGCAATCAAAGGCAAGGCTACATAGGGCAATCAAAGGCAAGTCTGCATAGGGCAATCAACAGCAAGGCTGCATAGGGTAATCAAAGGCAAGGATGCATAGGGCAATCAAAGGCAAGGATGCATAGGGCAATCAAAGGCAAGGCTGCATAGGGCAATCAAAGGCAAGGATGCATAGGGCAATCAAAGGCAAGGCTGCATAGGGCAATCAAAGTCAAGGCTGCATAGGGCAATCAAAGGCAAGGATGCATAGGGCAATCAAAGGCAAGGATGCATAGGGCAATCAAAGGCAAGGCTGCATAGGGCAATCAAAGGCGAGGATGCATAGGGCAATCAAAGGCAAGGCTGCATAGGGCAATCAAAGGCAAGGCTGCATAGGGCAATCAAAGGCAAGGATGCATAAGGCAATCAAAGGCAAGGATGCATAGGACAATCAAAGGCAAGGCTGCATAGGGCAATCAACATTGTCGGCTGCATAGGACAATCAAAGACATAGGCTGCATAGGGCAATCAAAGGCAAGGCTGCATAGGGCAATCAACATTGTCGGCTGCATAGGACAATCAAAGACATAGGCTGCATAAGGCAATCAAAGGCAAGGCTGCATTAATGGCCGTGCAATCAAAAGCAAGGCTGCATAGGGCAATCAAAATCTGCTCTTGTTTT